GATTTAATTTAAGGCACCATAATAGGGATCTATGGTAAAAAATAGGGTTTCCTTATTATGGTAACTTAAATTAAATCCCTTAACAAGAACCCAGTTGAAGCCCGAGCTTCTCAATCCTCCATCGGCTGGCGACCAATAAGGACTCCAACAAAAAACACGTTCAATCTCTTCAACCCGAGTCCCTGCTTCGACTCCAAAGCTCTAAAGCATGGGAAACCCTGAAAGCCTAGAGCACAAGTTCCTCTCCTGCGGCAGGTTGCAGGTGCACCACAAGCCCCTTCTAGACCCTGACACCTGAACCCAGATCTCCTCAAGGGCACACAGAAGCCTTCACCATTTGGGTTTAGGGTTTAGTCACCTGGGACTCGAGTCGGCCAAGATGCAAGTGGCCACACTCCCGCCATGCGCCTCCGGCGACGCGGCGTCGGCGTCGGCCTTGAGCTGCTTCACAATGCAGCGTCCGCATAAGGAACTACGACGGGGCGATGGTGATGACGAAGGCGAAGATGATGATGACGATGACGAAGCTGATGATGACTATCGGGTTGAATGGAGTGTTCGCTTGATGAGCTGCTAACTTTACTACCTTCGACTATCTTCTACTCGTCATCCACCACTGCCATACTGCTGCGGCTGCCACGGCTGCTGCTGCTGCTGCGACCAAAGCTGCTACAGCTTTTTGCAACAACCTATCTACATATACTCCTAGCTACTTCCGAATCCCTGCATAGATCGACCTTCTTGCCACTTACGACTTGCGACTTGCTACCTGGTACTTACTACATACTACTTCACTAGTTGCAGCTGTGCCTGCTACTTACTGCTTGCTGCTTACATACTGTCTCCTGCTACTACTACCAGTTACTACCAGCACCACCAGCACCAGCACCACCACCACCGCCCACCTATACTACCTTTCGCTGTTTCAGCGGGCGAAAGGGGCCTCGCGTAATCCTGCGAACTCTCGCGGAATCTTTCACTTACGCTTCCCGCTGCAGTAGTGACTTGATAAACCTGCAGGCGCAAAAATTTGTCACTGATCCTCGCGACTTGAAAATTTGCTTTGCTGCTGCAGGGAAGTGCAAGCGAAAGGCATTGCCTGATTGCAGCTTATAAACGGTCCCTGTTTCACCAAAGCTCGGAAAAAGCCGCGCCCGTCACCTTCCAGAACTTCTCAAGCCGGTCCTAACAACCAAACTATTTCGACCCACAGACTGCTGGAAATCCGCTAGCGCGTCTCTGGCAAGTAAAGATACACTATCATGTGCATCATGTACTAGAACATGCTATAAGATACTATGACATACCGTACAATAGTACCCTCCAACATAAGAGGCTAACCCAACAAACGGCCTGACCAACGAGAAAATAGCTCTAGAACCCAGAGAGCCGGTTTCCTTTCGCACTTTACACGTCCCAAGAAGCCTACAACATTTCCTGCGCGCACAGCCGGGCGGCTGTGTAGTGATCTCGAATCGAGGTGCAGCCTTGTGGAAACTTTGACCTTCACTTGGGGATGGTTCTTGATGCTGCTTTGTTGATATCCCGGTTTGTTACTACCCCTTGTGGAACCCTAAGCACTATGTGACTATCCCTAAACACTAAACCGTAAACTATGATGATGATTATTGCCATGATGGTCAGGCGCAAGGCTTCCCCTTCGGGGGGTTCCGAGCAGGATCTCCGCCCCAAAGGGTCGAGGGGCTCAGTGCCGAGTACCGGGGTTAAGCCTTTTGGGCTTAGGGTTTAGAGTTTAGGGTTGAGAGCTTTTGCCTTAGGGGTTTAAGGCTTGGGGTACCGATCAATGTAAGGTGCAGCATTGTCCAGGTCTTGTCACTGACCATCCAGGGGTTTCCAAGCTGTTGGCGGTTTCTGAGGTAGGTTGGCTAGGTCACAGCCACTCGGCAGGGAACGAAGTGGAGTTCAGAGCTCAGGGTTTCGACTCTGCGAACAAGGGTTCCGGCACAAGCATCCACTGCAACTGCGGTACAATGCAAGGGACACAGCTTCGCCCCAGAATCTACCACAAGACTATTGCGGTTTTAAGGCTTGGTTCTGTATCCTTCGCGGACACGGCTCTCACCACAGGATCTCCCAGCCCGAGATGCATAATCTGACTTACAATGAGCTTCGGCACAGAGATACCCGAGATAGCGTGAATGACCCGTCCACTCATCACGGTTCGCAGTCGGACGCGAGAAGGACACAAGGCATGCGAACTGCCAGGCAACACAACAAAGCACATAAGATGCCGCCTCACAACAACATCTCACAACATATGAACACAATGTAGAATTCTCTGCAAACTCCCACAGAAAAATCTATCCCAGTCCATAAACGTACCCGGAGCCCAACCCAACGAAGAACACTCGGTCGTAAGCTGACACCAGAACTCGATGGGTTAGGTTACAACGGGCAAGGTGCATGCGGGGTTTAGGGCTCAAAGTTTGAGGAATTCCGGGGCGAGGCGTGGGAGCCATAGAAAGACGGTTTCGGAGTTAGCGTTTCGGGTCGATGGCTAGGGCTTCACGAACTTCCTCGTGCCTCAGCCCCTCGAGGCCCGTCATGTAGGTTGACCAAAGAGCGCTGTCCTCCGCTGTTGCTTTGGCAGCAGTTCAGGGCCTGCTTCACATTTTCATGTCAGCTGAAGGAAACAAGGTGATACTGTTGATGATATATATATATATCCTGCATTACCTTAAAGACCCTAAACTATGGGAAGTATGGCATTTTCCTTATTATGGGTAGTGCAGGATTTATATCATCAACCGTAGCACCACCTGGAGGGCTCCCACGTTCTCAGGGCATGTGGGCAACTGAGTCTTGCAAGATTCAATTGCAAGCTGCTTTCCACAAACCAGGGTTTTCGACTTTTCCAGCGGGGTGAGCCGGAGGGTTTAACTGCACTGGGCTGGTGATTCGGGCATCTTCCTGTCCTGCGGCCCAATGCTGAGAAATCCCTGAAGCCCAACCCCGCCCACCTCCACCCGGTGGCATTTGACAACCTTTGGACGCACATGGCTAGCGCTGGAGTCAGTATTCTTCTCCACTGCATCACCACTGTCAGTATCGGGAAACAATGATTACAATTTGTGATTCCCCCCTGGTGTTTGCTACAGCTCATGTCCTGTCACTTTGCCATTGCGCTAAAAGCACGATTACAAATACCCTTCTATCTCTGCCGGGCTGGCTACCATAACGAAATCCTAGTGTTTATCACAGTAGTAGGTCCTGCTATTCGCCTGCAAATCATCTTGTTGGACGACGCTGTTCAGGAGCATATGGAGAATTTGGTTGAGGAGAGCTCATGCTTTGTAGGACAATCAGCACATGCTGGCAGACAACGGTTGCTTCTTCAACAACAGAACGACCGAAATCTCAAGGAACACTCACTCTCGCATGCGGCAGGCAGGGCTCCTCACATGTCCGTCACAAGTTCCCATCGAGGCACCTAATCCTGCAAGGAGGTTTGTACAACACAATTTGTCATGTCAACCTCGACATGCAGTTACCTCGCAGGGCCCAGATTTCAAAGCGATCTCATCCAGTAGCTATGATGGCGCACTGTCTTCGAGCACAAAACATTAACTACTAAGCTAGACAAAGCATTGCAACATCCGCACTGAAATCGGAAGCTTGACCGGGACCGTCTACACAGGGTTTCCTAGCTGTTCCCGTATGATGAGAGACGACATTCCTAATGAATATCATAAACCACCAATGTGACAAAAAAGGGCAGTAACCATGTGAGAACAAAATTTGTAGGATCAGAGACAGAAATTGAAATCATCACACAAGTAGCAACAGCCGTAATACTAGGCTGGGTGATACCAAAAGCAGACACACAACACAAGCATACAGACAACAACAATACGTAAAGGCATCATCAAGACTCCTGGTGAGCAACACAATCACCAACCCTGACAAGGATGAAACTCGCAATGGCAAGAGCAGTTTAGTCGTCTCAGTAGCAGTCTTGCTAGTACTAACAGGGACTAACAGTTGCTGTAGGACCATTTTACAAGGATGGGGCACAGCACAATTAGTAGCAGCAACCATTATAAAAAAAAAAGCCGAATGCAAAGCAGGGGGCTCGCAGGCGGCGTGGCAGCTGCCCTTGCCGGTCCCGTGTGCTTTTTGCCTGCACATGTTAAGCAGCGGCAGTAGACACGCCCATCTAAGGGCAGCCGAACCCTCAGTGCAACGACATGTCCTGTATGGCAACAAGACCAACAGAAGTAGTAGTAGCAGAACGGGACAGGAAGATACGAGATGTAGCATCACATCCCCTGGCGGCGTTCATGGATAGCTGCATCTGAGAGCTCAGACTCGGAGTCTAGGATGTAAGGACTCAGATTACCTCCGAATGCATATCAAGGCCGCCGCGGGCGGGGTTGAAAGGATAAGGTGCTACTCCACTGCCAATTCAGAGTTTCTTTTTGGCAACTTCATGCAGTATTAGGGCGGGAATGACTACAACGACGCTTGTCCAAAAGCCTGAACTCTGCGGCGTTGTACAAGGCAAGCGGCTTTGAAAGTCTGGTCCAACAACATTTGGAACATGTCGCCTCAAGGTCAATCGTCAGGGGTCGGGATTTATGGGCTCCCAGAGGGCAAGGCCCGCAGGCAAAAGGGTTCAGGCTTGTGCAAGAGTGCATGTTGCCACGCGGTGTGCAAAGCTCGTGGCTGCCGCAAGTAAGCTGCAGCCCAAGCAACTGCCTAGCAAAACTAGTCCAGAACTTGGGTGGTGATGCACCCCGACAGTCTAGGGTTTTAGGTTTGGGGCTCCTGCTCCTCCTCCTACCACCTTCTGCTGGTAGCAGAAGGCGAAGAACTCCGGGTTCTCAACATGCAGGCACAAGCTCTAATCAAGCGGCCTTAATGCTTAGAATAGGGCTTGAGGTGTACATTAGCTTAGAAACGAATAGGAAAAATACGGAAATACTTTTACTCATTCTTGTGACACCTATCACGTACTCATTATGTAACTGCCGGGTGGCGACCGTCGCCTGACACGTCGCATCGCTTGCGAAAGTGCCCTGGGCTCAGGGCTCAGGGTTCAGGGTTTAGGGTTTAGGGGCATTTGGAGCAACTGGATTTGTGCACAAAGGTGATCACACATGCAGGCCTCGGTTCCACACCCCTTCTTTGTTGCTGGCGTTCAACACGACACGGCCGGCGCCAATTGTTTGAACACAGAGGAGGTCTGCCGTAGACTGAACTCCAAAACCTCACAAGCCCCAACAACAACAACAACAACAACTCTCGAGAATCCTTTAGGTCTAGGGTGTAGCCACCCTCTGCCCCCTAACCCATCCGTCTGGCACCTGCGCTGATGTCCTGGTTCACCCAATTCGTGGGCAATGCCTTGGGCAAGGCCACGAGATCCGCCGAGATCGGCGACGTGGGCACCTGACAGCAGAAAACCGAACACCTCTCACCAGAAACACAAGTAGGGTGGACCCCGTGCCGGACAGCCTTTATGGTGGGATATTGGGCGACACCACTATTCAGTTGGTGTTATCGAATCTGACAGTGATTGCCCCTAGATAGAGAAAGGACCCAACAAAAGACACCCGATCACCAGACGGAATGGGTGTCTCGCAAGTCGGTTTAAACAGAAAAGTCTTCGCCGACTCGTCGCCTGCGCACTCAGCAATGAAAAAGACACGAGCGGTGCACAGATGCCTGAGATGTAGCATGTGTGCAAAATGCTTGCACGCTTCCGGCCACGTGGCGAGCACGTCTTGCTACGAGAGCCGTGCACGGCTTGGCCCAAGGTACGGTGACAAGGAATGTACAGTCTTGCACATGCAAAAACTCAACTTTGGAAAAAAGGAACCAGCATGCCACCACGATTTCTACGAACATGATATTGACGGTTGGACATTTTCAAGGTGTGTTTATGGCAGGCAAGAAGTGGCACAAAAAACAAAAGCAAGCAAGAAAATCAACTGATGTGCCACTTGAACTGCAAGCTCATGTCATTGAGCTGAGCATTGAGCTGGTGTGCGGTTGTGCGATTTTCTATGTTACGGACTACATTGACTACATGTTTGGCACTTTCGCCTCGCCGTTGTGACAAACCGTTCCCATACCGCAACACCACGTCATTTCTCCAATATCAAGGGCTTGATACTTAGAAGAGGGCTTCGGGGCTTTCTACTATAATAATGAATACTGCACATGAAGTAGCTCGGTAAGAATGTTCGAACCTGAAGCAGGCCCCCGTCACATAGCACCCTTAAGATGTGATCCTTAGTAGAACTGTTTTTCCTCTGGGGACCCGATTCCGTGGCCTGCGGCTTCTGCGGGATCTTCTCCTGGGGCTCGACACCTGGAGCTTACGAGAGTGTTGGGAGGAGCAGTGCCCAGGCGGAGGCGTCTCAGAAGTTGAGTGGTTCGGGTTTTTAGGGTTTCTTAGGGTTTAAGGTTGAGGGTTTAGGGTTTAGGGCCTGATCAGGAGTCCTTCTGTTTCAGGGTTGTGCCATTTTTGGTCCTCGTTTCCCGAAACGTCCCACATCAGGGCCACCCCGCACATGAGAGCGGCCAGGCTGTGAAGGCTCTTGCTGCCGAACTTCTCATTCCCTGGCCCCCCAGAACAGGCATCGCACTTTATCTTCCGTTGCAGAAGGAAACGTCAGAGCCTGCGATTCGAAGCCTAAGACCCAAGCGAACTGTGGAACCTTGTGCTAGCGGACTTCCCGTGTAAGGCCTGATGCTCTGTCGACATTATTTTTGACACCATTAAGGTTGTTATGGATTATGCGCATGCGCACTGACTTTTCAATTTTTGGTTCGCGGGGTGCCTAAGACAGGCGGGAACCGGACATGCCAACGTGGATGCCACAAGCCTCGCAAGCTGAACTCCTAAACCCTAAACTAGCATCCGATCGGGGGTTTACGCTCTCGCAACCCCGGACTCTGCCAAACCTGTTCTACACCACAGGTCCCAACCAGGTCAACACAACAAAAAGAGTGTCCTGGGTTTGGGGTTTAGGTTTTACAATGTGAACTCCCGAGTCTCCCGAGCAGTCCGATCCGAACCAGCGTACCTGTCTCGCTTGGCACGCTCGGCCCCCCCCCCCAAACTCCAGAGCCCCAAACTCAACACCCCAAACCCTAAACCCTAAAGGCCGTGCATGTCACTTCCCTAAGCCCGGAAACCCCAGACCCCTCAAGCCAGCACCAAGCCCTAAACTCTAGAATCTGACATCTGGAGCCCTCTACAAACCTCGCAAAAGCCCCGTCAAATACAGAACTTGCATGAAGCCCTACCAAAACCCGTTCCACAGCCCTAAAACCCTAAACCCTAAACCCTAAAACCCTAAACCCTAAAAGCCCTAAACCCTAAACCCTTTTGCATCCGGTCTGCAGCGACTCTACCCTAAACCCTAAAGCCCTAAACCCCAAGAAGCAGCCAGGAGAACCGCCCAGGCGCTCTCGCCCGGTTTCCGCAGAGTGACCCTCAGGTCGAACTGGGCTGGGCCGTTGCCGATCTGCACCTATCAAGGGGTTGAAAGTTTAGGATTAGGGGGATTGAGGTTTTTTCCCTCTCGCATGGCTGAGGATCTATGCCCACAAGCGAGGATATAGAGTTTAGGGTTTGGGGTTGAAAGTTTAGGATTAGGGGCCTTGGGGCTTTTTGGGGTGAAGGCTGGGTTTAAGGTTGAGGGTCCGACAGCGAAGGTGGGGATGAAAAGGGCTTCTGGCTTCAAGGGCTTGAGGCTCCAGCTTTGGGAAGACTGAAGGCTTCTGGGGCATATTCAACTATGGTGGTATGGGGACTATCTATCAGGGAAACTCTCTCTCTCTCTCTCGCTCTCTCGCTCTCTCGCTCGCTCGCTTGCTCGCTTGCTCGCTTGCTCGCTTGCTTGCTTGCTGGGGGTATGAAGGTGTGAACCCCCTGGCCCTCTCTCTTCTTCAGCACAGCTAAGAGGAAAGCTCAACGCTCCCCTCCGCGCGCGCACGCGCACTGGTCTCTCTGTCCGGTCAGTGCTACACACAGGTTGAGGCCAGAGGTCCCCTCACTCGCGAACCCCCTACGATTCCCAGCCCTAAACTTTACGGACCCCCGGCCTCTGGAGACTAAGGCTCATGCCTGCCCTGGTTGCCCCCGCTGTGGCTTCTTGCCACACGCACAACCGTTGTTGCACTGGCAGTCACTCTGAACAGACGGCAAGCACATGGCACGAACACAACGCATGCTCACACTGTCTACAGCAAGGCCTAAAAACGTCGTGACTGCGCTGGCACTGTACCGGTGGACTGCAACCTTCCCTTCGCAAAAACAGTGTCAAGTGGCAAGGGCCCCGTAACTCTGCAGTTACTTCCTAGTTGTTGCTCTGTCCCCCAGGCTGAGCACACGTCCTAAACACTCTGAGGCTGCGGCCACGGCGCTCTTGCGGAAACAGCTTCAAGTACCCAACACCACGTACTACAAGCAAAAGGTCCCCTAGGGCCCTCTCTCTCTCTCTCTCTCTCTCTCTCTGTCTCTCGGCATCGCCGCATCAGGGGAAAATGCTACTATGAACTCAATGTATTCCGACCCCTATATTGGAGGCTGAGGCGTTCAGCCAGTTGCCCTCCACTCAAGCTCGTCCTCGGGGCCTTGCCTTCATGTGGGATCCCTTCCTCAATCTGTCATCATAATCAAGGTACTGCAAATTGATCATAGTCATGTCATCGTCATAAGCAGTTAGTAAGACTGATTACAATAACAGCTATGGCTCGGCCACGTCACATTGATGATGTCCAGCTTCATGTTCGGATTTGAGGCCGCCAGCTGTGGCACCAGAACGTGGATCCTCGGATCTCCAAACGCGGTCTCTCACTGGCCATAAACGAGGCCACGAAGAGCTTTCAGTTAGGGCCATCTTAAGGACCTCCCAAAATGGGTTTTGACACTCACACTCGGACAAAGCCAGGCTTAGGGTTTAGGGTGTAGGGGCAAAAGGTGTGTAAGTGCGACATGCGATGTAGCAAAGCGTCCTCTCGAACACGGCATTGCCATACCGGCCCACACTCACCTGGGCCGCCACACTCGCATACACGAGCTTAAAACCCAATCCGGTTCTGACTTCCTCGGCTTGGTTTCTACACATCGGGGATGACTTGAGGTTTTTGTTCTATTTCCTGGTAAGGCGTAAGCTTTGCCTTGACTCACAGAGTCAGACATCGGAGGGAGGATGGCACTCCAGGTACACGGCAAGGGAACCACCAGCAGAGTCTACTAAAGACACCGAATCGGCCCAGCCTCCACCCTTTGCATAGATTCCCACCAAAATAGTGTCAGCCCTAAGAAGCAAATGGATATGTTCCCGGTTAGACACCAATTCCCAGAGCAGGGTCAGGCCCATGACCCTGCATGGGAGCCTCGCTGCACGGGGTCTTCTGGGGCCGGCGCATTTAAACCGAAGAAGCCGGTGACCATGCAGACCAACGAGCAAACGAAGACCCCGGCGAAGGTGAGTCCTAGCCGCTTTGAAGCTGAGTCCTAGCCGCTTCGCAGCTGCCAAGGCCCCAGTGTAGTCCAGGGGCTTCACCGACACCAAACTAGCGCCTAGACCAAACCATGCGTCAAATCCTTGACCCTGTCCTGTCACACAAACGCCCGTGTTGCCGTCCGTGCAGCCAAGGAAGCTCATCAGAAATCCCAGCCTCCGCTTGCAGCGTGGCTCCGTGCACGGGAGGTCAGGGCGCGGGGCTTAGGTTTCTGGCTTCGCGAGTCTCGACGTTTACTGCAGTCTAGAGTCAAGGGCTTTTTGGGTCGGTTCGCAGACCCTGAGCTGGGGCAGAGCTTTTTCGAGCCGAGGCAATGACAAAAGATCGCTCGTGGTGTTACCTCTTCTGAGAACGGCGGAATGGATGATCCTTTTGACAGTGGAAAGGGAGATTCGGTAGCCTAAGAGATCAGTTCTCAGGGTTAAAACTGCAGTATTCGTTCCCTGCCCGTTCAATGCTACTTCCTGACCGCGGAAAATACATGATCGGCGCCTCCCAAGGCTCTGTACTATACCTTTCTTACTTCTTCACGTTGGAGCATTTTGGATTGAGAGCCTGGGGCCATCGGGTTCAGGTGTTTCAATCAAGCTGGTTCGAGCGTACAACAACCGCGACAAGGCGCATGAAGCCCAGGATCAAGCCAAGCATGCACGTCATCATCAGCCTGGCGGTTTCCGTTTCTTTGCGACGGATCTTCACACACAAGTTACTAAACTTTACTAAGCAAATCAAAAAAATGGCGATGTGCGAGATAACGCACGACATTCAGATTTAAGTACCTTACAATATCCCGTTTTGCTTTACTTGGAGAGTGTGGAACAAAGAAGAACCGTCGCATTCGGTATGGCGATAACCCACATAACAGCGACTGCAAACAATCAACTTCCCCGTGACTACCCCGCACGAACCTTTGCAAAGCCAAGCAACACAAACCAGCGAGCGATGTGTTTCCGAACCTTTGCTGTCTCCTGGACAGACCCGGTGCAAAACTTGGGCTTCTGATTATGCTTCAGAGAGATTCAGAGAGCCTGTTTAGAACTTGAGCCCGAACTTCCGCCGAACCCCACAACCAGAGCCAGCGAAGAAGAAGAAGCTCCTGACTGTGAAGTTCCCCCTCGATGCTCTGAATGATCCGCCGCCACGCCATGGAATCTACCGCCCGCCACTCCTGCCATCGATGTGGCTTGAGGCTATGACCTGAAGGCCTCATGAAGGGATGGGATCTGGGCCTAAGAGGCCGAAGGCTAGGAGGTTGCAACACAGTTCCATTAGGATCGGGGGAGCTCACAAGGGCATCAAATTCCTGTTTGCGCATGGTGTTAGGTGCCCCCAAACAGGATCTGAGCGGAGGATGGACCTTTTGCGCCTGCCGCCTAGCTGACCAAGCACTGCAGGGAGCCGGTAGTGTTTGGGGCTTAGTTGTTGGCATAGTCAAGTATTAACCTTGTGAAAATCTGCCGCCTGCTAACTCTGGAAATGCTGTAATTCCTAAATATGCGTTTCAATTGCGTTTTGAGATCCGTTTGGGGTTGTCTGGGAGATTGCGTTTCCGATGCGTTTGGGATCCGTTTGGGTTGAGTTGGGACACGTTTAAAGCGCGTTTAAAATGCGTTTGGAAGTGCGTTTGAAGTGCGTTTTGGGGTCCGTTTTGGCCCCGGAGGCGGGGCCTGGCCGGGGACCGGGGCCAAACGGATCCCCAACGGATCCCCCAATGGATTCCCCAACGGATTCCCCGAC